TCTCAATTACATAAGTTGTTATTTGTATTCTTATAGTTAGTATTGCAGTTAAACCTTGAAAAAACGCTAGATGAAATGGTTGTTTCTTCTTTACAGGGCGACGCCGGTTCGATCCTTGTTTTGACCATGAAAGGGGGAGCCTTTTTTTTTTCTTATTAAGATTTCCACTCAATAAAAAATCACTGAAAAACCTAAAGAAGAGTTAGGCGTCTATTTCAAATACGAAGAATCTACTATTATATGTACGAATGAAATAATAATTTATTCGTGTGTATTATTTGTACGTATATATATGTATGAATATATATATATATATATATATATATATTTTTTTTTTTTTTTTTTTTATGTGTGTTAATTTGTTTTTGTATATATATATATATATATATATATATATATGTTTGTGATCGACTGGTTAATGAAACTATTATCAACATTCTCATTTTTAGAGTTTTCGTTATATTTTAAACATCTTTATATATTTGCTCCTTAAATTTGTTTAGCATTTCAAATATTTACTGAGTTCTTATGTATGTTTTGTATTATGTTACCATTTAACTTCCCTTCCCCCACCCGAGGACGTAATTAGTCTGGATGCGTATGTATTATAATCTGATTGTGTTTTTTGTTGTGTCACGCGTGAGTTTAATTCACATATTCAAAACTTTAAAATAAAAACGGGAAAAGAAAAAATTTATACATGAATAAGATGACCTAATTTACATTTGTCTCAGACTATCATCCTCATCTTTGTTACCATATTAAATTATTTTTAAAAATTGCGTTTTTAATTTTAATTCGCTCCTTCAGTATCTGTCTATATTTTTTGATTGGTTATTCTAGAGATGAACAATGTTATGTACATTAAACTTTTAAAACATTATTTTCGGACTATTATCCTCATCTTTGTTGCCATTTTGTATGATTTTATAACATACTTATGTTATAAATTTTTTTATTTATATATTTTCGAAACGTTTATATATTCATATATCTGTCTATATTTCTGAGATGACAGATGACCGATATCTTCGTCTTCCGAAATAGGCTATTATTTACATTTTTTTTTATTCGAGCAGAATATTATCCTATTTGAAGTATATCTGAATCAACGTCTTTAATTTAAAGCCAAAATATTTCTAGTGAAGTTCTCTGTACAAAAAAACGCTTTGGTTGCCCTTCAGTATCTGTCTTTATTATTTCTGAGATGAGGGCGTCTATTTCAAATACGAAGAATCTACTATTATCACGAATGAAATAATAAATGTGGGTGTCTATGTGTGCGATCGACTGGTTAGAAAGTTCGCATTCTCATTAGTTATATTGATCAGGGAATTAATTTGTTTTCATTTCATGAGTTCTTATGATTACATTACCACTTCCCTTGCCATAATTATTAAATTCGGAAAACTTTTGGTTTTTCAAGAACTCTATTTACATTTCTCAGACTATCATCCTCATCTATTTACCATATTAATTAGATGAGTATCTGTCTATATTTCTGAGATGATGTTACATTATTTACATTATTCGGACTATTATCCTCATCTTTGTTGCCATATTTATTACAACGTTTCGGCCCTTCAGTATCTGTCTATATTTCTGAGATGAGGTGTTATGTACATTATTTACATTATTCGGACTATTATCCTCATCTTTGTTGCCATATTTATTACAACGTTTCGGCCCTTCAGTATCTGTCATATTTCTGAGATTTATATTTCATTATTCGGAGATGTTGCCATATTTATTACAACGTTTTGGTCCTTCAGTATCTGTCTATATTTCTGAGATGAGGTCATATGTACAATATTTACATTATTCGGACTATTGTCCTCATCTTTGTTGTCATATTTATTACAACGTTTCGGCCCTTCAGTATCTGTCTATATTTCTGAGATGAGGTATTATGTACACTATTTATTATTCGTACATTTTTTACATTATTTCGGCCCTTCAGCATCTGTTTATTTTCTGAGATCCTTATTCAGACTATTTTGTCACCATATTTATTACAATGTTTCGGTCGTTGTACGCTCCAGCCTTCTTCAGGTGGTTGGAATGTCAAACTGGACCCTTTATTTCGCTTTATCCACTGTGGCATGTGTCCTGGATAAAGGCGCTCGCTAAATCCAGTGACAGGACCCAAAGAGTTTGAGTTCAATACCTGGTTAAGGCTGTGGAGCACTTGCAGAAGGGAATTAACAGGAGATAACTGATAACTGACATCCATTAGACATGCCACGTAGAACTAAAACTTTCTGCCCCAGGGAGCGAAATAAAGGGTTCAGTTCGACATTCCAACTACCTGAAGAAGGCCAGTGCTTTACACGTTGTGATAAATATGGCAACAAAGATGAGGTTGATATTCTGAACAATGTAAATAGTGGACATAATACCTCAGGAATATAGACAGATACTGAATAAGAACTCATACGATGAAAACATTAATTCCCTGCTCAACGATACCGATACATATGTAAAAATATACGAAGAGAAAATAATTACTGAAACACAAAAAATTAACAATGCGAATAGGAAACTAATTAAAAATGAAGTGAAATCAGAGTGTAGACGAATAGGATATCTCCCTAGAATACCCGATCTTTAAGGTCTCCCTAAAACCAACAGGCATCCGAATGCACCCCATTCTTTCAGGAATAGACAGACTCCTATCTCTCCCTACATACCAACGAAAGCCATAACAAAAAAAACTTATACATATGTATCTGCGGCGGATTGTTTGTGTGTGTGTATGTATAAAAATGGCAACACGAAAAAGCTCAGTTTATATGAACATTTTGAAAATTCGTACCTGTGTACATCAATATCCGAAGGCACTGAAATATTTATTAACCGCCGCAATCTCTATTGCAAGGTGTAATTCACCCTCATCCCTCCTGAAAAGGCCCAGATGTGGTTCTTGCTTGTGTTGTCCATGACACACTAAGAAATTTCTACAGATCTATGCCAACACTTTATTTTCTTGCCAGTGGAACTTTCTCCCAGTTTCTGGCTTTCTTGACATCTACGTTGTTCAACCGTTTTGGGCATGACGATAAAATACACCTATCAGAAAAGGCCTCTGATCAGGAGGATTTGAGGAACATGGAATGAACTCTTAATTACCATTGTTCCCAGGTCCACCCTGCTCCGAATAGTAGTACCTGTTATGTCCCCAGCTCTGGGCAAATGATTAACCCCTAACCAGGGTATAAATACTATGAAAGTATAAAAATAAAGTTTTACAATAAAAATACCAGCAATATATTTCCATAGTAAAAACATTACTAGCAAATACAAAAAAAAATTAAAATTAAAAAAAAAATTACCGGGAAATACAAAAAAAAATTAGTAAAAAAATTACCAGGAAATACTAAAAATAGTTAAAATATTAACAGCAAATTCCAAAAAAGTAAAAAAAAAATACCACGAAATACAAAAAAAAGTAAACAAATTAGCAGCAAATACAAAAAAAAATAGTAAAAAAATACCAGGAAATACAAAAAAAGTAAAAAAATTACAGCAAATACAAGACAAAAGTAAAAAATATTACCAGGAAATACAAAAAAAGAATTAGTAAAAAAAAATACCAGAAAATAAAAAAAAATATAGTAAAAATATTACCAAGAAATAGAAATAAAAATTAGTAAAAAATTACCACTAATACAAAAAATTAGTAAAAATATTACCATGAAATAGAAAAAAAAAATAGTAAAAAATTACCACTAATACAAAAAAAATAGCCATAAAATTACCAGGAAATACAAAAAAAAAGAATTAGTAAACAAATTAGCAGCAAATACAAAAAAAAACAATAGTAAAAATATTACCAGAAAATACAAAAAAAAAAATGTAAAAAAATTATCAAGAAATACAAAAAAAAAATAGTAAAAACATGAGCAGCAAATACAAAAAAAAAATACCAGGAAATACAAAAAAAAAATATATTAAAAAATTTAGCAGCAAATACAAAAAAGAAATGAAAAAAAAAACTAGCAATATTTTTTAAAAATTACTAGCAATATATTTTTGTAAAAGAAATAAAGAATGCTCCCAAGAAGATTTAATTTGGGCATTAAATGACTCATAAGGATGTTGATATGCCACTAAAGAGACAAACACTCCGCTAAAATTTAAATGTTTTGTCAATCTGCATCTTCTGTCTTCGTGAAAACTTCTTTTATTGTAGTTCCTCCCTACAAATGTTTTCTTATTCTGTTCCTATCCTTAGAAACCCGTTCGGTCTTAGTGGCATTGTCGCTTGGGGTGAAATGATTTTTTTATGAAATAATAGCCATTGCGTTTTCTTTCATGTGGCCATCTATTGAATCTATTTTTTTTCTTTTGGAAGTTTTTTGTTTTTTTTACAGTAGATTTTATGACGGATATACAGGCAATATATTTAAGAGACGACATATTTAAAGCAAATAAACTTTCTGGGCCATTGATGCGTTTTGTTCCGAACAATGAAATTTATGACAACAATCCGAAAAATACAGAGAATCATGTAAGCCTTGCCAAAGTACGCGTGTACCGAAGACAATGGCGGACAAAATTGAAAACATATGCGCATGCGCACTGACTGGTTTATTTTAAAAACATGAAGAATTAACGCAAGCGCTGTTGTACAAAACGAGTGATCTTAAAAGAAACCCGAATTAAAGCTTTTGTTTTAATCAATAAAACAACCCCAAAAATGTCAGTAGATTATTGGACTGAAGAAATAGAGGTCATTTCAATGCCAGACTATATATATAATGTCCATCGGCATACAATAAAAAAGAGAAACCTATCTCGATATGATTTCTCGTTTTCATCGTCTTTCTGCTGCAGGTACCCGAACTTGCTCCTGATCTTTGTGTACAGTGGGGAGGTAGTACTTAAGGAGTGAACCGCATGAACTGGAATTGTATAAAAATAGCCAGCATTTTTCAATGTATATCAAGGAAGACAAAGTGTATGATTTATTAATTAGCAGCCAAAAATTAACGAAGTCTTTAAAGATAAAAATGTATTTTAGTGGTGGGAATGGAGAGAGGAACAGGGTAAGGAGAACAGAGAGAGTGTGCGGAGGAGAGCGAGAAAGATAAAGATGTACCAGCGAATAAGAAAGAGGGAGTGGGAGAGAAGAAGAAGAAGAAGAAGAAGAAGAAGAAGAATTCATGGATGACAGAAAGTCGGAAAAAGAGATCAAGAATATACAGACGACGAAAGAGAAATAAAAATGAGGAAGAGAATATGAAGAGAGAGAAAGAAGGATTGTCAGAGAGAGTATGTGTGTGAGAGATAGATAGATAGATAGATAGATAGAGATTGATAAGGAGTATGGGGGAGAGCGTGAGAAAATGATACAAAAGAGGGGAGAGCAATACAAACGCAAAGGAGAGAGAGGGAATGATAGAGAAAAAAAAGGAAGCTATGAAAAGAAAGAGATGAAGTGATAAAGAACATCGAAAGGGGGTATGAAAATGATACATTAGTGTGAGATAGAGTGAGAAGGAAAGTATGCCAGTGAGAGCGTGAGGGAGACTGTAATGGTTATAGAGGATAAAATGAGACAGATGTATGGGAGGACAGAGAGGAAAAAGTACTGAGGAGCTAGAGGGAGAAAAAATGAAAGTGAAAGTGAAAGTGAAAGTGAGAAAGAGAGAAAGAAAAATAAAGAACGTATGATGTAGATCATGAGAAAAGGGTACAGGAGTGTGCGGTGACAAAGAGAGAAAGTGTGGAGGCAAAAGAAAGAATGAGGGAGAAAGAAAGCTAAGAGAGAGATAGAGAATGGGGAGAGCGTGGGGAAAATGATACAGAAGAGAAAGAGAAAATAGGTCAGTGAGATAGAGAGAAAGAGAGAAAGAGAGAAAGAAAGAGATGATTCTGAGAAAATAATAAAGAAAAAGTAAGGAGAAAGACAGATAAAGAGTTCAGAGAAGAGAGAGAGGGGAGATAGGGATAAAACATGTTGTGTGATAATTTGAGAGGGCTATGGAGGGTACGAAACCCACAGAAAGTGGGTGGGTAAGGAGAGAGAAAAAGAGAGAGAGAGAGAGGGGAGAGATCGTTTCGAGGAAGTCGATAGAGTAGTCGCAGTTTTTGCTAAAATCCGTGGAAATTTAAAGATTTGCAAATGAGATGCATTTTTTAATGGTGAATATGTCCAGTAAAGCTTTTAAAGAAATTTGGTTCGATGCCAAAAGAATAAAGAATAAAAGAAAGAAAGAAAGTTACAAAAAGGAAAGGATGTTAAAGAAGAAAAAAGTTAAATGATTGGAAAGATGGAAGGGGATGTTGGAGAGGAATGAAAATAAAGCAAAGAGGAATGGTGAGAAAGAAAGAAAGAAAGAAAGATAGAAAGGAAGAAAGAAAGAAAGAAAGAAAGAAAGAA